ATTGATGGTGTAGTTAATCTTTTTTTTATGAGAAGCAAAATGAAACATGTGTATTTTGAAAAAAATTATGAAAAAGAAAATGAAACAGGCTTTATGAACATGAAACCGGTTCATCTTGCAAATAAATTAGGTGAACCAAAACATTTTTATGGTGAAACCGTTGCATTGATGGTGTASTTGATCCATTTTGTTGATGAAAAGAAAAATGAAACCGGTGCATTTTGAAAATAAATTATGAAAAGGAAAATGAAACAGGTTTCATGAACGTGAAACCAGGTCTTGTTTCAAATAGATTATGTGAACCGAAACATTTTCATGGTAAACCCGTTACATTGATGGTGTAGTTGAGCCATTTTGTATTTCGCTCGTCATGAACGAAGTGCATGATGAAACGGGGAAATGATTTTAATCTGCTACATAATCTTGAAGATTGTAACTTGTTCCAGAATCTTCAAGATTGTAAGGACTAAAGGAATGATTCCATCAAATCGGTGGTGAAATAAGAAAATTATTGTACATGAAATAGTTTTCATGAAAGTGAAACTGGTTCATGGCAGTATTGAGCCTGATAAGTGAAATGGTTGCATAAGTGAAATAATTTCATGTTGTATTATAAACTTATATGAAGTCAGTAATCAATGAAAAAATTTCGTTATCTAAGTGTAACGGATCCATCTACCAGTATAATGAAAATTACGAAATATGATCAGTATTACGTGGATTAGTCTGTTGATTAAATTTTGAAACCAATTTCGTTCATATAATGTAATTCAAAATTTAAAACGATTCACTCCATATAATTGAATATGGTGTGTTATATTCAATTTTTTTTTTTTTTTTTGATATGTTTTATTGATAGATGTGATTTAAAGTTAAAAATAATATATTGCTTTAAAAAATGAAAATAGTGTCATTAATATCGAGAATGATGTTACCAAATGTTAAATTTTGTTTACCATTTTTGCCCTTATTGTTGAAATAAAATAAATTTTTAATATATATATTTTTTTAATTTTCTAAAATAAAGTATAATAATCTTGGTCATTGATCAATAAAATAGATGGATAATATTGGTTTACATAGTTTACACAAATGAAGCAGATTTTTATTTGAATGCTCCTATATATATATATATATATATAATTTAAATTTACCAATGGATGCAAAACCTAATTTATTGAAACTCGTAAGTAAATCTAAACATATTAAGAAATTTAAAAACTATTTAAATTTACTAACAGATTACTTACAGATTTTAATAAATTTACGATGGAAGAAAAATGTATTTTTCTTAAATGAATAAATCAAATAAAATTTCATATAATTGCAATAACAAATTAGACCCATTGCAGCAGGTTATAGTTGGCTTCCCACAAAGGTAATCACAAACTTTATAACTACCAAAATGTCATATCAAACCTTATGAGAAGGAATGCATCTATTCCTTACTCTGCCCTTTTCCCTATCATCAAATCCACACCCACATACATTTATTATTCAAAAACGTTCATAAATACCGACATAATTTGGTTTATCAATATAAGGGATTCGTGAACACCTTATGACCGCAATGGATACAGAACTTATGAAAGCTGCTGAAGATTTTGCTAGTTTTGACTTTCTAAAGTCGAAGAATCGATTTAGTCCCTCTTTTTGTACTCAAGAAACATACTCCATGATCATCATCAGTGCCCAACTCAAAGGTTTGTTAGAAACTAACATACAATAATTTGAATGTAAATGTCGTAGATCTGACTCTTAGAGGATAAGAATGCAAATAATCTATCTTGTTGTTTTCTTAGTGTATAATGGATTGTTATAGGGTACAGAAGAACAGATATAAAGGTTGAGAGAAATGAAGATGGAAGTAGAATCGTTGTAAGTGGAGAGAAGCTGGTTCAAGATATGTTGGCGATTGGAGGAAAAGTTGTAAATAAAGGTATTGAGACGCAGCGATTCCAAAAGTCCTTCAAGATTCTACAAGGGGTGGTTTTGGATAAAGTCAAGGTCAAATTCAACGATAAGGACTCGAAACTCGTGATTCAAATTCCAAAACTTACAAAAGGCTTTACGGGGGGTGCAATTGAGGAGTTGAAAACGGAAGAAATTCCACCAGAATCCACTACGATATTACAAGTTTATGGTAATAGAGAGTTAGCTGAACAAGAAAATCAAGAAAGTGAAGAAGAAAATGTTCAGGATCTCATAAAGAACGATAAACAAGATAAAGAAAATTCAGAAGAAGAACAAGGTGAGGCTAACCATGTTGGCGGAAAAGAGGATGAAACGCAAGAACCAAAATCAAATCGAAGGAGGTTCAAGATATGTAAACCGATCATATTTGGATCTGCATTATTTGTGTCACTCATCGTGATGGTTTTCCACTTGGTTCAGTCCGAAAAACTAGAAACACAAAAAAAGAAAAAAGATCAAAATTAATTCTTAGTCAACCTTTGTATAAATAAATAAAAAAAGAATAAAAAGTATTAAATTTCATATTATATTATAAAATATTTAAAAAAAAGTATTTAAAAGAAATTTGGTGAATGGATTGATAAAGGAAGATGTATTGGATTTGGATAGGATCATTTAATATGCAATTTGTTTTGTTTAGGTCTGGTCATGTTTGAGTCCATAAAAAGGCTCATCTTCTTTTTAGGCCCATGTCCAACATAATTTAATTTAGGTTCAACAACAAGTAATTTATATTTGATTTAATAATATAATTTTTTATAAAGATAATAATAATTAATTATTTTATTAGAATTCTATAATTATCTTAATTATATTTTACATTTTTTATATTTTAAAATGAAATGTTTATTCTCTATTTGATTATGTTTATCCACAATTAGTTATACGAATTCAAACATTGAGTTTTAATAGGTTGTACTTATGCATAATTTATTTGTAATCTTGAATTATAAGTAATATGCATCAATGGCATCAATATACAGTACTTTATGCATAAAAAATGGTTTTTAAGAGTTTTTGTCGAATACTTTATAATATAGTATAGATATTGGTGATGGGTTGCATTTGAAACATCTCTCTCTCTCTCTCTCTCTCTCTCTCTCTCTCTCTCTCTATATATATATATATATAGGGGCCTAATCAAATGAGAAATAATTAGTTTGTGGTAACCGTGAGGTTCAATCTCAACCACAAATCAATAGATAAATTAGAAAATTTATAATTTTGGTAATTTTTAATTAAAATTTTAATGCAAGGGCATTTTAGGTATTTTATCTCCTCTCTCAAAGGCTCCTCTCTCCTTCCTCTGGTGATACCACAGTGGTATCACAATGCATCTTATATGTGATTGGGTATCATATTGTGGTCGTTTGTGCAGTCGATCGGATATGTAACACAGTGATATCACAATGCATCTTATATGTGCATGAGTATCACACTGTGGTATCACCGGAGGACGGTGGCCGAAAGACGGGGATGGAGAGAGAAGAGAGAAGAGATGAGATAAAATACCTAAAATGTCTTTGCATTAAAATTTTAATTAAAAATTACCAAAATTATAAATTTTCTAATTTATCTATTGATTTGTGGTTAAGATTGGATCTCACGGTTACCACAAACTGACCAGTTCTCCTTCTTTTTATGTTATTTTTTTAATTCCACCCATTAGTTTGTGCAAAAAATACAAACAAATAAAAGTAAAGAAAATAAAATAAAAAAGCAAAAGTAAAAGTAAAAATCAAAAATAACAATTGAAATAAAAAACAAAAATTCCTTCTAAACTTTTTTTTTTTTTTTTTTTGATAACTCTTAATCAAGGAATCAACAAAAAATTTGAATGTCTTGTTATTGTCAAGGATAAAATCACTTTCTAATTGTACATATTATGTATCGTATCATATCTTTTAAGTGTATAATTTGCATCATATCATATCCTCAAGATATGATCTCCATGTGTATATATTGTCCATACCCAATGACATTGATCAAACGAAACCACTTGTTATCGTCAATCTCACCAACATCTCAAGCTTTCATTGACAAACCGTATCGTGTGGAAACTTCAAATAGAGGCCACGCTTGTTGGTCTCCACCAATTCAAGTTTCCTAATGGCACACATCTGCCTCCAGCCGCACTATCGTTAAAGACAACTATTCAACTTCCAACCCATAATATGAAACATGGCTACGTCAAGATCATCTGGTACCCTTGACCAGTCAGTTGTTCCTTTGGTTTGTCTCACCACCACCTCTAAAGCCTTGTAAGACACCCTTGCCACAACTTTTGCCAGCTCCACTTGAGATCACATCAAGCAACTCAAGGCTTAGTTCAAAGCTACAACTCGAAGGAGCTCTTTATCAATCGGGTTCGTGGAGAAGAATGAGTGAGATTTGGAAGATATTTAAGCAGAGTGGGAAGGTGGGTGGATAGATTTTCGGAGAAGGTGGTTATACCGTACTTTAAAAGGCAAATTGCATGAAAAAGTAGCATACTTTAACTTGATTCTTATTTTGGATAACGTACTTTCAAAACTTTCATTTTGGTACCTAAGATGTAAAGTTTTAAACAGTTAAGTACCCGGGTAACTGGTTGAAGTATTAACCGGTTATCATACTGATGTGACGAATGATGTGGTATCCAACTCGGTATTATTTGTTGACCTAGTCAGTGACGTGGATTTTTTTAAATCTAAAATTAGTCTTTTTTTCCGTCTAAAATTAGTCTTTACTTGGTTACTCTGGTACTTAAATGTTTAAAACTTTACATCTTAGGTACCAAAATGGAAGTTTTGAAAGTACATTACCCAAAATAAGAATCAAATTAAAGTACGTTATTTTTTCATGCAATTTGCCCTACTTTAAAAACTGTACGCTAAGCAAATAGTATAGATTATAAAGGGTAAAATGAAAAATCAAGAAGACATAGAACAAATTGAATAAATACCTATGAATAATAAAATGTAAGTTTTTGAAAATAATTAACTACATATTTATGCTATTTGATAATATAATTAAGTCCAAAAATATTCAATATTGGGCTTATTTTAAAAGTATTAGCGAGACGATTATACGGTATAATTTGGTAAAAAAAAAAAAAAAAAACCTATTTTTATTGTATTTTAGTTAATATAGAATTAGATATGTTAATACGATCTGGGTCTAAAACAGAAAACGAAAAAGCAAAGAATATAAATTAAACTAAAAAAAAGTAAATATAAGAGTATAAAATGTAATTATAAGCGTAACTTATAAATTAAAATAGTACAATTTATAACCATGGAAGATCGTGGAAGTTGGGTCGGAGGCTGTGCTGTTATACAACCTTGTATATTTAACATAACAAATTGTATTTATTAAAGGAGTGGGCTGAATCATATGTAACTGCAAAATAAACAATTCAAAGAATTGAGATTTGATATTAAATTTGATTTAAACGGCTAAAATTTAAACAATAATTTTTTGCCTTACCGTAGTAAATATTATGTGGGTGTTTGGGATTGCTTATAAAAATAACTTATTGACTTATTCTAATGTGACACCGCTAATAAGCACTTTTGAGTGTTTGGATAAACAACTTATACCGGTGTCAAACCGATAATAAGATAAACCCTTCTGACTTTAAAAAATATTATTTAAATTATTCAACTTTTAAAAAAGAGTCCTCTTTGAAAAATCATTAAAAAACCATCTAACTTTCAAAATCGTTATTGAATTTCATCATCTAACATTAACATATTACTATTTTTTTTTGTAGTCAAAGTTATCCAAATAATGCAATGGTTGTAACATATTTTTTAAATGTTTAATGATCAAATGGACAATTAAATAAGATAAGTTGTTAATTAATAGAAATTTATCCATGCATGAAATATGCATATGGCTAAGACGGATAATCAGCCGGGCTTGTAACTGGCTACGACAGGACTGATTATGGTCCCCTGTTATAATCGGATTATGGTCTATAAAATGTAGGAGTAGTCATAGCCGGTGTAACCAGTTACAATGGTTATGGTGGACTGGTGATGATTGTCCAACCACGGATTTGCTTCTCCTTCTACAACTTGATTTCTCTGGCGTCAGGGGGTGTCTTCTTCGGTAGAGATTTGCATCTCTTTCCACAGCTCGTGCATGTTCATGTGTGTGTACCGTATGTTTACAGTATGTTTATAAACGTATGTATAATGTGTATGTATGTATGTATATATATTATACATATATAGAGTAACCGTTACAAGACTGGTTATAGAGGCCTCTTTTGTGGACATTTTTGGGTTTCAAATGGCATAACTTGTTGAAGAGATATAAATTTGTTAAATCAGTTATGGTCCAGACCTTGATTTGGGTTAAATCGAGACGATTACAAATATGACCCTCTTTACCAATCTTAATATGAAATACAAATAAATCAGTTATGGTCCAAACCCTGATTGTAATTTTAGTGTATTAAAATGCTATTCTGATGTATGGAAATGACATGCTAAAATCTATCAGAAGGTCATATATTTAAAAATAAAATTTTAAAAAGATCATTCAACAGATAAACACAGTATAAAATATAAAAAAAATAAACAGAAATTCCAATGCAATTATTTCATAAAAGAAAATTAATTAAAAACACTTGTAACTATTTTCTCACATTTACACCCATTAACAAAAGTAGAAAATTACAAAATACCCTTTTTTTTATTGGTTTATTCCATTCTATCTTCTACCTCATTATTTTATTTTTCTTGCAAATAATAAATAAATCATAAAAATAAACCACAATATACCACTGTAAATAAAAACTTACAATGTTACACTTACCACCCCTCATCCCC